TGGAGAGGGGTCAGTGGAGGGGGGGTTAGTGGGGGGGTCAGTGGAGGGGGGGTCAGTGTCACATAATAACATGATAACTTTCATAACTCTTACCTCACACAGATGGACTTTCACAAGACTGAAAAACCTTCTCATCTTCTCTCCTGGTCATGGAGGTGTTCACTGTCCAAGAACCCTGACCTTTGACCCACTGGTCTGCCACAATGAGCAGCCAATCAGAGAAGCACTCTGTTTTCATCCAAATATAGAAAAACTTTATTCATTTTCAAAAATACCAGACATTTGGACTTCCTGCAGTTCAGATAAATATTTACCCACAGTAGAAAAACACTGTCCTACAGGTCAGAGGTCAGAGACGGATGTATGTGGTCAACGTGTTCCAGTTTGATGATGACATCATCTATGACATCACTGCTGCAGGTGTGAAACCAAATAAAAGTCTGAAGAAAATCAAAAGTGATGAAGCAGAAAAAACCCAAACTTTCCTTCTTCATTTTCCCAGCGGTTTTGATCCGAGCTTATATTTATATCTTTATTTATTTATATCTTTATTTATTTATATTTTTTTTTATTTATTTATTTATGTTTATCATAGTTATATATTTTCTTTGGTCCTGGAAGAAAAATGATTTTCTGCAGTTCTTTTTTTTTTAGGAACACTAAATGATTGTTATGTGAGTCTGGACTTCAGGTCACCCTGACCCTGACCCTGACCCTGACCCTGACCCTGACCCCAGACTGAGACCATGGAACAGAGAAGGTTCTTCTAAACAGAAAAGAAACACCAACAGAAGAGAGCGTTTTGAATTTTAAAAATTAGAAAATAAAACAAGGATTAAAAAAATCAAATGTGACCTGAGTCACAGTCAGCAGTGACAGCTGTGTGTGTGTGTGTGTGTGTGTGTGTTCTGTAAAGGCACTGATTCATTCAAGTTTTTTTTTATCGTTTCTAAAGACGAGCGCTGTGATTCCTTTTGATACCCTCACATCCAGCTGACCCACAGAGCGGGGTCAGAGGTCAGAGGTCGTTCTCTCCAGGCTTCACCTTAAAGTGACGAGTGTCAACTCAGCCGACGGCCAATCAGGACAGGTTTTGGACTTCTCTGCTCCGACCGATGTGACCTCGTCAGGTCACAGGTCACAGGTCAGGAGTCAGCCATCATCGCCATGATGACAAATACCAACCCTTAGAAAACACAGCAGGGGTTCAGAGGAGGTCGAGTGGCACAGTGGTAGAATCTGCCTGCCTGTGTAAACAGCGCCCACAAGTGGGAAGATTGAGAAATGTCTCTGGTCCAACATTCACCAGGAAGGAAAGATTCAAATGAGTTGGTTCAACTGGGGGGGGGGCGGGGGGTGGTGGAGGAATGGACAGATGAGAGACAGACAGAGGAGAGGAGGAGACAGATGAAGAGTGGAGGACAGAGGACACTGGAAGACATGTCCCACCTCCCTCAGGGTCCGTGGCTACAGTTCGGTGAATGAAGCTCAGCTGACGACGACTAACCCGGGGGAAACAGTTCTCAGAACTGAAGAAGAGACCAGGACAGTCCTCCAACCAGTGAGACCACAGCTGGTCCTCAGCATCAGTCTGGACAGACCAAGTCCAACCCCGTGTCAGTGTTGGTCTGTGTCCCCCGTCCGTCCTCTCCGACGCTGCAGTGTCTCAGTTCCTCTCCTGGTTAAAGTGCTCCAGGACCGTGGAGTTGGTCCTCTCAAACAGCCACTGCTGATTGGCTGAGGACGGATCACATGTGTTCATGAAGAGCCGTCGATCAGCGGGGCTGCTGTCGACGCAGCTGTTACTGACAGGGTGGTACAGACTCTTGTCCTGCAGCACAGACACAGATCAGAAGAACAGACCGGGAGGAAAGAATCAGTGATTACAACCAAAGACAACACTACACCTGGATCGTTCTCAAAATAACTGCCTTAACCTACGGACTTTGGTCTGAACTAAAATCTCTGATTTTCTCCATGGACTTTGGTCTGAACTAAAATCTCTGATTTTCTCCATGGACTTTGGTCTGAACTAAAATCTCTGATTTTCTCCATGGACTTTGGTCTGAACTAAAATCTCTGATTTTCTCCATGGACTTTGGTCTGAACTAAAATCTCTGATTTTCTCCATGGACTTTGGTCTGAACTAAAATCTCTGATTTTCTCCATGGACTTTGGTCTGAACTAAAATCTCTGATTTTCTCCATGGACTTTGGTCTGAACTAAAATCTCTGATTTTTTCCATGGACTTTGGTGTGGGTGGGTGTGGTCTATAAACTGAAGCCTGCAGGTGCTGATGGTTTGGATCATGACCCCCCCTCCCCTTCTTCCCTCCCCCTCTCCCCCCTTCTTTCCTTCCTCCCTTCCTTCCTTCCTTCCACCCTTCCTTCCTTCCATCTTTCCTCCCTTCCTTCCTTCCACCCTTGCTTCCTTCC